GCGTTCTGGCCCAGCTTGTGGAGCGATCGCAAAATATAAAACTCTGCAGCAAGGTGCTTGGTATGGTTGAGACCTGGATCTTCCACTCTAATGAATCCTGGCCTACTCTGAAGGAAAAGACCGCGGTTTTGCACAAGATGCTGCTTTTCGAGTCGCGACAGGACCAAACCATGCTCAAGAAATTCCTTGACCTTGTCATCAGGATCTACGAGGATTCTAAGATCACGCGGACTGAATTAACTGTTCGTTTAGAGCATGCATTCCTGATTGGTACTAGAGCACAAGATGTTGAAATGCGCAACCGCTTCATGACCATCTTTGATCGAAGCTTGACTCGTTTGGCTAGTTCTCGACTCAGCTATGTGCTGACCTGCCAGAACTGGGATACCCTCGCGGATTCCTTCTGGCTTGCACAGGCATCCCATTTGGTTCTGGGCTGTGTGGATATGAATGCTCCCGCAAAGCTGCATTCTGATGACTATACTCTCTACCCTCTATCGTTCCTATTTGGAAACGCAGACAAGGATTCAAGAAAAGCCGATGTCATGGTCGACGTTCAGTTAGAGGCGTTTGTCTCTGATCGGAAGCGATTCGTGGCGGATATCGGTGACGTTAGAGCCCGGGATTTGATTGAACCACTCTGCCAGCTGCAACACACTGATCCCGATGTTGCCTACACTCTCTGGACTAATCTCTTCACTATCTTCTGGTCCACCTTGTCTAGGGAAGATCGCATTGATTTGGAAAAGGGTATGATTACTCTTATTACACGCGAGTACCACCAGAGGCAGTTGGATAAGAGACCAAACGTCGTTCAAGCGCTGCTAGAGGGTGCGGTTCGGGCTAAGCCACGGTTCAAGATCCCCCCACATGTGATGAAGTACCTTAGCCGGACCTACGATGCTTGGTACACAGCTGCTGGATACTTGGAAGAAACGGCCATCAACCCCATAATCGACACACCGACTGTCCGTGAGAGCAACCTGGATGCCCTTGTTGAAGTCTATGCAGGCCTACAGGAAGATGATTTCTTCTACGGTACCTGGCGACGTCGTTGCAAATTTGTCGAGACCAACGCCGCTCTTTCCTATGAACAACAGGGAATGTGGGATAAGGCCCAGCAGTTGTACGAGAATGCCCAGATCAAGGCTCGCTCTGGAGCAATGCCGTTCTCTCAAGGTGAATACTACCTCTGGGAGGACCATTGGTTGATTTGCGCGCAGAAGCTGCAGCAATGGGAGATTCTCAGCGACTTTGCCAAACATGAGAACTTGAACGATCTTCTTCTTGAAGCTGCCTGGCGCAACATTGAGAACTGGCAGAGCGAGGGTAATAGAGAACAGCTTGAATCTCTTATAAAGTCCGTTTCTGATGCACCGACGCCAAGACGTACCTTTTTCCAGGCATTTATGGCACTCCTTCAATATCACATCAAGAAGGAGAACATTCAGGAGTTCAATGGTGTTTGTGACGAGTCCATTCAGTTGTCCATTCGCAAGTGGCTTCAGTTGCCGAAGAGGATTACAAATGCTCACATCCCTATTCTGCAGCACTTCCAGCTCTTGGTCGAGCTGCATGATGCAAGCCATATCTGCTCCAGTCTCTCACAAACCAATGAGCGAAACCTGGATACGAAATCAGCCGAGTTGAAACTCTTGCTGGGAACTTGGCGTGATCGCCTTCCTAACCTCTGGGACGACATCAACGCGTGGCAAGATTTGGTTACGTGGCGTCAGCATATCTTCCAATTGATCAATGCAACGTATCTTAGCTTGCTGCCACCACAGACCAACAATGTGGCGAGCAATTCCTATGCTTACCGTGGATACCATGAGACCGCGTGGATCATTAACCGCTTCGCCCATGTTGCACGAAAACATCAAATGCCTGAGGTGTGTATCAATCAACTTAGCCGAATCTATACGCTTCCGAACATCGAGATTCAGGAAGCTTTCTTGAAGCTGCGTGAACAAGCCAAATGTCACTACCAGAACCCCAAGGAGCTGAACAGTGGGCTGGATGTGATTAACAATACGAATCTTAATTACTTCGGTGCGCAGCAGAAGGCAGAGTTCTATACCTTGAAGGGTATGTTTCTGGCTAAACTGAGCCATGTCAGTGAAGCAAATGATGCGTTTGGTGTCGCCCTCTATTACGACTTGAGGCTTGCGAAGGCTTGGTCCGAGTGGGGACAGTACAGTGACCAGCGATTCAAGAAGTCTGATCCATCGGATTATGAGTTAGCCAGCAATGCTGTAAGCTGCTATCTAGAAGCTGCAGGACTTTACAAGAACTCCAAAGCTAGGAAGTTGCTCAGTCGTATCCTTTGGCTTCTTAGCTTGGACAACGAAGAGGGTCGTGTCGCGGCTGCCTTTGAAAACTTCAAGGGAGACACTCCTGTCTGGTATTGGATTACCTTCATACCACAGCTTCTCACCAGTCTCTCGCATCGGGAAGCTCGCCTTTGCAAAGCTCTCCTGGTGAAAATCGCAAAACTGTACCCGCAGGCTCTCTTCTTCTTACTGCGTACGAATAGGGAAGATATGCTCAATATCAAGAAGCAGCATGATCAAAAGCAGGAGAAGCTGAATCGTGCCAGACAACAACAGGCTCAGGCTCAGGCCCAGGCCCAAGCCCAGGCTTCACCGCAGCCCAAGCCTTCTCCATCAGCTGTGGGAGGCTCACCTGCGCAGAATGCTCAGCCTCCGAATGCCAACACATCCACGCCCGTGCAAAGCCAAGCTAATCTGCCTAACCAACAGCAAGCCCAGAATCAGATTCAGCAGGGTATGGTTCAAGGCCAGAGCCCTCAAGTCAACGGCCAGGCTCAGCAGTCTCCTGCTCAGGGTCAGAACCAGGGTCAAGGTCAAGCTCAGAACCAAGCTCAAGGTGGTCAGCAGCAGAATCTTCAGGTGCCTGGGCAGAATGGAGTATCACAGCAAAACCAGAACACTGGTACAGAGCCTGAGAAGGAACCTCTCAAGAAGCCTTGGGAATACTCTGATGAGATCATGTCCGGTCTCAAAACGGCTTTCCCATTGCTTGCACTGTCTATGGAGACGATGGTCGACCAAATCCACAAGAACTTCAAATGTCCGCCCGACGAAGATGCCTATCGTCTCATTGTTGCACTTTTGAATGATGGACTAGCGTATGTTGGCCGCATGCCTGGCTCGTATGCACAGGACTTCAAGCTTCCTGCTCCTACGGAAGCAAACATCACGCGCTTCGCCGAGACCATCCTCCCGGCTCATATCCGCAAATCTTTCGAGGCCGATTTCGTTGTCAAGAAGCCTACGATGTATGAGTATATTCAGAAGTTGCGGCGTTGGCGTGACAAGTTCGAAGAGAAGCTTGATCGCCGACCTCAGTCCCAGTTCCTCGAGACCTACTCTCCGCATCTCAGCGAGTTCCGATTCCTCAAATTTGACGAGGTTGAAGTGCCTGGCCAGTATTTACTGCATAAAGACAAGAACCAGGACTTCGTTCGCATTGATCGATTCCTGCCTGATATTGATCTAGTCCGCGGCATTGGTGTATGTCACAGGCGCTTGAAGATCCGTGGCCATGATGGCAGTATACATCCTTTCGCCGTCCAGCATCCAGCAGCTCGGCACTGTAGACGCGAGGAGCGCATTCTACAGTTGTTCCGTATTTTCAATGGCCTCTTAGGCAAACGCAAGGAGAGCAGACGGCGCAATCTCTATTTCCATCTTCCACTCATGGTTCCGTTGGCACCTCATATACGTCTGGTCCGTGACGATCCCTCGTACATTTCTATGCAGGGCATCTATGAAGACTACTGCCGACGGGTTGGAATAAACAAGGATGATCCTGTACTATTCACGATGGAAAAGATGAGGTCGTTAGCAGAGACGAAGCAGAGTGTAAGTGAAAATACCGCACCGACGTCCTTGAACATGACTAATTTTTCTCAGCGGACGCCTGATCAACAGCAAGTACTTCGAACTGAGATCCTTACTGCGATCCAGGAGAAGTGGGTTCCCAGCAACATTGTGCTGGACTACTTCCAGAAGACGTACCCCAACTTCTCTGACTTCTGGCTCTTCCGCCGTCAATTCGCATACCAATATGCGGCCATCGCCTTCATGACCTACGTGATGCATATGGGCAACCGCTATCCCAACAAGATCATGATTTCCAGGACGACGGGTGACATTTGGAGCTCCGAGCTGATCCCAGCCATTAACCCTGCCAAGGCCTTCTTCTACAATCCGGAGCAAGTGCCTTTCCGTTTGACTCCCAATATCCAGACGTTGATGGGACCCATCGCCACTGAAGGTCTATTTGCCTGCGCACTGATGGCAATTGCCCGATGCCTTACGGAGCCTCGTCATGAGCTCGAGCAGCAACTAAGCATTTTCGTTCGGGACGAAATGATGTTCTGGGCTACAGCACAGCATCGGGGCGTTCTGCCAGTTCCGCAGCTTCGCGATTTGGTATATAACAACAGCGATATCATCGTCAACCGGGCTGTCAGCCTTGCCAGTCCTCCGGAGGGCAACCTGCCAGCCAACCAAACTACTATCGACCTGATCTCCAAGGCCGTCAACCCTCAACATCTAGCAACCTGCGATGCTTTGTGGATGCCGTACCTGTAGTCGCGGGGCTTTGTGTTTTCTGCTTCTTTGGTGTATTATTTTCTCGTGCTTGCTTGGCGTTTTCATTTACTCGGCGGATTGTGGAGGATTACCTACGGTTCTGATGAGCTAGTTCCGTATTACTGTGGTATTACTTTACTGTTTCAGCGTGGCGCTTTGGGAAATATCTTTGATGGATATGCTTATGACCTGTCTATTAATCGCTATATGTTCTTGACTTGTCCTTGTCATATTTAGTATTTATAAGAATTGAAATAATTCAGCAGTCAATTCATATCCTTGAGTCGTAATGCTCGTAAGCAACTGTATCCCATGCGATCCCAACCAAACGCCAAGCCTATAGAATAGCAATGTAAAGAATTTCGACAGGCACATGTTTTACACCAGCGATGGCTTTGCCTTCTTCTTAATGCCCAAGCTATTTGGCAATGGCTTCTTCGCCTTCTTGACCCGTGCGAATGAAGGTGGTGCTTCGCTCGGCTTGGGGTCTGGCGTAGCGCCATTTGAAGAATCCTCCTCAACAAGCCTCTTCACCTTCTCCCCAGTTTCCGTGGTGAATGCCCGCCGCGCAGCTTCCTCGATCTCCTTCTCAGCGTTCAACTTTTCCTCGTCAACTTCCTCCCGTACATGCGCAAGCGCCGCCTCATCCCCTAGCGCCTCATTCCTCTCTATCCTAGCATTCCTCGTCCGGATCTCATCCAGCGCATCCGCGATTGCCATCTCCCTCTTCGAATCCAACATCTTCTCCTCCAACTCAGCCATCTTATCCCTCTCCGCGCGCTCATGCTCCTCATTCTCCTCCTTCTCTAGCCGATCCAGCAGTTGCTCCTCCGTCTCGTTATACGTCTCGTTCTTCGGATCCCGCCACGGCTCAAAGTTCCGCTTCGCGCCCTTCTCCGCCGTGTAATCCATATTCTTGGGGTCCGTCTTGAACGTAATCTCGCCACTACATCTTGTGCACCGAATATAGAAACGATAAATGGGGATAGAGAAGTATTTCTCCTCTGTTGTTTCTTTGCGCGCGTTGAATTTTCTTCCTTTATAAATGAATTCTCCACATTGTGTGCATTTCATCTATACACATTAGGTAACTGCAAATGGATCATTAAAGCGAAAGTGGGTTACGTAAAAACATACTGAAAACGGGGCCATAAGTCGAACCGTTATCACCTTGGGGCCTGTTTGTTTGTTTTTCGTACGGGTAATTGCGCTCGGATCAAAGTCTGGCGGGTAGTACTGGAATATGTTAGTTATAACACCAAGATTATAGGGATACCTCTTGTATTATATTAAGAGGATACTCTGGAGGGTTTGTGAGCGTACCTTCGACAGGACCTTTCTTTCAGACATATTGGCGGTATTTTATTTAGATTTCTAGGTTTGTGGGTGCTAGATTGGAGGCTGGATAGGCTTTTGGTCGCTGTAGGAGCGTGGCTGTTGTTTGAGAGGGGACAATATCTTGGATGATAGTGATGTTGCTATTGATATATGAAAGATGATAGCTTGATATTTGTCACGTGGGAGGCGCTAGTTGAAGTGCTTTGGTTCGACTATTCCTGTTCTGGTAAGAAGTTTGGCTCTTGTGGTGCTTACCGCCTACTGAATCGAACTTGCTGGCTTTCATAGGAAGGCGGCCAATAATATAACCCTGTGATTCTTTACTTGCATACTGCGATGCTGATTACGCGATTAAAAAGACCACATTTTAGATTGGAAGGAGCTTAGTTTGGTGCTTTTGCAGCGGTTGTATTGCTAGAAATTTGTAAGGAGAAAATATTCGCTTCTGCTGGAGTAATAAGCTTAGATACTCGCTCTGCTAAATCTCGTTTTCAAGATCATGGGTTGCGGTTATGCTTCCATCTAACGGTCGATTACGTTGACAGCTCTAGCGTGATTTCAATTAGATAGATGGGCTTGAGATACATGTGCGTAGTTCCACTATCCTTGCACATATGCCTCTATGGGTCTGGAGGGTTTCGATCTATCAACTTTTAGGCACGGTTCCCTCGTTCGTGACTGTAAGATAAAGTTGGGAAGACAGATTATTGTTATCTGATAGCGAGCCACCCTTGAGCAGGTAACAAATCCAAGCCATCGCCGAACTTGATTGTCTTACTTCGTTGTATGCGAGAAGGATGAGGTTGATATCCAATTACCTGATAAGGCAAGCGCACAGACCCAGTGACGCGCCATTTTGGGAAGCATAAAACAAGCAAACAAAACAGTCAAACATGCAATTCCGTGGATCGCATCCATAGATTCCAATCTGGGTTCTCTCCTTCCCTCCTGCGTTGGACGTACACCGAGTCAGCTGTTCCTGTGGATAAGCCATCATCGTCGCTTTGTTGGACGCTTATCTTCGAGAACTTTTGGGGGAAAAGTTTGGCGGCTGTACCTGGAACCAGGAACCAACGAATGCGCCTAATCTTTATCGCCCTTCCGGACCCCATGCCTCACTGCAACAACTCCGATCTTCCCTGAATCCTTCTCGCCCTTACTCGAAAGCGCATACCAACTAGTGCCATGGAGAAATTTCTTCGCTCCTGGCGGCAGGATGCGTTGAACCGTGGCCAGCATGATGCGGCAGTCTACATCGGTGATAAAGTGCTCGCTTTAACTAGTCGGTCGATCCTGTGCCCTCGCGCTGCAGTCAATAAAGACTAACGTATATTACTCGAATAGATAGCGACTCGGATGCCTTCTGGTTGGCTCAAGTACATTTCTCGAATAACAACTTTACCCGAGCTTTAGCTCTCCTATCACGGAAGGATCTGATTTCCAGAAGTACCGCCTGTCGCTACTTGGCCGCGCATTGTTATATAAAGCAAAACCAGTTCGAGCAGGCTCTATCGATACTCGGCGACCATAACCCGACTCACCTGATTCGCAGCAACAACAGCAGTAATAGCCGTCGCAAGCTACAGCATCTGAATAGCCAGAGCCATGTCACTTTACGCAACGGGAAAACTACAGCTTCGCGGATCGATCGCAGCGAGGAGCGGGAGCGAGAGGATGCAAGTAACATTCGTTTTGAGGCCGCAATGTGCTATCTGAGGGGGCTTTGCTTCGCCAAGCAGAATGCATTTGACCGCGCTCGTGATTGCTACAAGGATGCCGTGCGAATTGATGTCCAGTGCTTTGAGGCGTTCGATCAATTGATGAAGAATTCGCTAATGTCACCTGCGGAGGAGCTCGAATTTCTGGAATCACTTGACTTTGACTCTATCTCCAGCCCGGACCCATCCGTGTCTCAGGAAGCCGCTCATTTCACGAAGATGCTGTATACCACCCGACTATCCAAATACTCGTCCCCTGCAATTCTCTCCGACGCAACCGAAACCCTGTCCACGCACTATAACCTCTCAGAAAACCCAGACATACTGCTTTCACGCGCAGAGGCCCTGTATACCCAATGTCGCTTCGCAGAAGCGCTAGAGCTGACTTCGTCGATTTTGTCGACTTCCCAGTCCTCTACGGCGGTAACAACGACAACTGCATCCATTCCAGCCCAGAACCATCTGGGCCATGCACCTGCCGTGTATCCCTTACATCTGGCATGCTTATATGAAACTGGTGCCACCAATGCGCTATTCCTTCTCTCTCACACGTTGGCGGATCATGCTCCAGAAGAGTCTTACACCTACCTAGCCATTGGCGTTTACTATCTATCTGTTTCTAAAGTAGCGGAAGCCCGACGATTCTTCTCGAAAGCATCTTTGCTAGATCCTCATTCAGCGCCAGCTTGGATTGGCTTTGCTCACACCTTCGCTGCTGAAGGAGAGCATGATCAAGCTATCGCGGCTTATAGCACGGCGGCCCGACTCTTCCAAGGAAGTCACTTGCCGCAACTATTCCTCGGCATGCAGCATTTAGCCTTGAACAACATGTCGCTCGCCCATGAATACTTGTCTGCAGCCTATGTAATGTCGACAGGCGCAACATCTGGTTCGGTTCCCGCACTCCCTCCCACCCCATCCGCTGGAGCGTCCTCCCTGGGCGGCGATCCGTTGGTACTCAATGAGCTGGGAGTCGTCCTCTACCATCAAAATCATCTTGAACCTGCCATAAAATTATTCCGCCAGGCTCTCAGCCTGGCCGCCTCTCTCAATTGCGAGCCAGGAGCATGGGTAGCCACACGAGCGAACCTGGGCCATGCTCTGCGTCGTATTGGACGCTTCACAGAGGCACTAGTTGAATTTGATGAATGTCTTCGCATCGGTGCTGCGGGGGCTAGCTTCGGGTATACCCCATTCTTAGGAGGAAGTGGAGGCAATGCTTCTGGCGCGGCGTCGTCCGGTGTTGGAGGCTACGAGGATCGCGGCTTGATTGGTTCCCTACACACAGCTCGTGGCCTTGTTCTACTTGAACTAAGTCGGACAGTGGAGGCGGTCACCGCTCTCCACGAGGCCGTTCGTGTCCTGGGGGCGAGCGGAGGCGGTGACGCTGCTGCTGGTGCCGGCGTCGCGGGAACACTACTCTCTCGAGCCCTCGAGATCTGGGCACTGGAAGGCAATGAGGCTGAGCCGACGCTGTCTGAAGAGGTCTTACGAGCAGGAAACGGCAGTCGAAGTTCCAACCGGTCGTCGCGTGACAAAGGAAAGGGCAAAGTTGCCAGGCGACGCGCTATCGCAGAAGAGCCCTATTCTGAGGAGTGGACGGACGAGGTTGCCCAGGTCGATTCTCACAATTTGATGGGCGGCTCGGAGACACTGGAGGACAAGGTGGAGATGGAATTGGACGATGAGGCCGACGGGCTTTTGCGCCAAGCGATGAGCCGCGTCCGAGGCGGTCGAAGCAGACGACGACCTATGTTAAGTCCCGAGGTGGAGGCCAGTGATACGCCTGAGCCTGCCGCGGGTCGTCGTCGAGGGTCGAGGACGATGCGAACTAACGCTAGACAATGATTGTAGTTTGATGCTTAGAAGGCTGGATTTGGATGCATTGCAGTTGGGCGTTTGGATGAATTATACCCGGGTTTGTTCATTGATCCTGAGATCTATGGGAAGGGTTCCATTGCATTCGTGACGTATATGATGATGCTTTTGTCTCGTTCATGTCGACAGAAGTGCGGCGTTGGAGAGAGCTGAGGAGGTACTTCTGTCCTCAAGACTAGATAGAAATGGAATTATACCTTCCAGTGGATTGAGTTCCCCTCATCATTCTCATAGATTGAGTACCCCACCGGGTGTTATTTCTCTATGTAAACAATAAGTACTAGCGATGGCGCAATCGCTGACAGCGGGGAGACATCTTACGTACCCCCCAATCTATGTCGGAGCGCCCCGGTCCTATGATAAATATATAACCGGGTGCCCAGATAAACGATGTCTTTAGCAGTTATACCGATTGTGTCCACGCTTGTGCATCAGTCATAACTACAATATGGGTTCAACTCGTCGTCCGAACTTCCTCATCATTGTCGCTGATGATCTCGGATACAGTGACACTAAGCCATTTGGATCGGAGATTGAAACTCCAGCACTTGATTTTCTGGCTCGTACAGGAACATGCCTGACCAATTTTCACACCGCGTCAGCCTGTTCACCTACTCGCTCGATGCTGTTCTCTGGCACCGACAATCACATTGCCGGACTGGGCCAAATGGCTGAACACATGAGAAATGCCAAACAATACGAAGGCCAGCCAGGGTATGAGGGATATCTCAATTGGAGAGTAGCCGCCCTGTCTGAAGTGTTACAGGATGCTGGCTATTTCACGGCCATGTCAGGGAAATGGTACGTATCTTCCAGTAAATATACCAATGATGTATATATATAGTAAGCAAGCTAATCAATTGGAAAGGCATTTGGGACTGAAGAAAGAGATCGCCCCCTGTTCTCGCGGGTTTGAGAAGAACTTCTCGTACCTCGCTGGATGCGGAAACCACTTCAACTACGAGCCTCAACTGGAACATGCTGGGGATGGCTTCCTGGCTCCATTGAAATCATCCGCATTCTGGATGGAAGGAGACAGGTTCCTGGACCGAACCGCCGAGCTCCCCTCGGACTTCTACTCAACTACAACCTTCACCGATCAATTACTCCAATACTTGACTTCCAGGAAGGACGACGATGACCGGCCCTTCTTCGCCTATCTCCCCTTCACCGCACCTCACTGGCCCCTCCAAGCCCCGCGCGAGCTAATTAATAAATACAAAGACCTCTACAACGAAGGCCCCGAAGTCCTCCGGCAAAAGCGTCTAGAACGCCTCATCCAACTAGGCCGCGTGCCCAGAGACGTCAATGCCGCACCCATAACCCTCGAAAGCGATGACTGGGCCTGGAACAAACTAAGCGACAAGGAACGCGCCGACTCAGCTCGCAAAATGGAAGTCTTCGCCGCAATGGTCGACCTAATCGACCAGAACATCCAAAAAGTCATCGACCACCTCCAATCCACTGGCGAATTAGAAAACACTTTCATCCTCTTCATGTCCGATAACGGCGCTGAGGGCGCAATGCTCGAAGCTCTACCCGTTATGGGGCCCTCGGGCAACGTCAAGACCATCATCGACAAGTACTACGACAACTCGTTCGAGAATATAGGCAACCCGGACTCGTTTGTCTGGTACGGTCCCGCGTGGGCTAGTGCAGCTATGGCTCCGTCGCGCGGATTCAAAACCTGGATTACGGAGGGTGGCATCCGGTGTCCGTGTGTGGTGCGGTTTCCGCCGCTGGGACTTACCAATGGGCAGACCAATTCGTTTGCAACGGTCATGGATATTTTCCCGACGGTTTTGGAGCTAGCGAGAGTGTCTCTTCCCGGGGAGCAGTTTAGAGGGAGAGAGGTTGTTCCCGTGCGTGGTTCGTCGTGGGTGCCGCATCTTGCGGGCCGCACGGCGGAGTTTCATGAGGACGAGGGGGGTTATATTACGGGATGGGAGCTGTTTGGGAGACGGGCTATTCGGCAGGGTCCCTGGAAGGCGCTGTATATGACTGCGCCGAGGGGCAAGGATCGGTGGGAGTTGTATAACCTGGATGAGGATCCTGGGGAGGTGGTTGATCGGGCGGACTCGGAGCCGGTGATTTTGCAGAGGTTGATTGAGCATTGGGAGGTGTACTATGCTGAGACAGGGATGATTGACCCGGCGCAGGAGTTTCCGTATACGAAGATTTGATGTGCCGATCCTTGGTGGTGAGGAAGGCTTGCGGGAGCTGGTGATATAGGGCTGGTCTAGAATATAGTATATAGTATGAGACATCTAGATCTCCGTGAAAGATTATGATCATCTTAATTACTCTTATTCTACTAAGTTGATATACGTAGACTCTCACCTAAAGAACATTAAAATATACCTTTACCTACAACAATAAGCAATATCAAAAGCCCATGACCATAGCCTAAACCCGACCATCACTAATAACCCTAGAATCACATTAGACCAACAACAGCCGGTAGATCGACAACAATCTACCAAGGTACACCAACGACTGAAACTGTATCCGATTCCAACTCCACCTAAAAATAGTTAAAATACCACCTCAAATGCCAAAAAATATGTAAAATAAACTTTCCCCAAACACCGGAACCCCACTGTTTGCCGATCGCCGTCGCAGAGGTACAGAATATATCCCGATTCGGGTCTGATAAGGCCAGCGTGAAACGATGGGGGCCTTGGCGGTTTTCGGGGACTTTTGTTGTTTTTCTGTGGGTAAAATGGCCGGAAGAGAGCTTGAGTTTTTCTTCCAGGGCCTTTTTCTTGGCCGCGATCGGGGCGGTTTGTTTCAGAGGTCTCTATATATGGAATGGGGGGATTGCCGTGGTTCTTGGGTGGAGCTTGGGGGTTTCGAGGGTTCAATTGTAGGGGTTTTTGAGTTTGGGGAAGGGTTTGTTTTCTCTCTCTGTCTTATTTGGTTATGAGAAGTTACTATGATTTATGGGGCTTTGAGGTAGGTTTTGCTTTTTTTGAGGGTGGGAGTTTAGCTTGATTTTGTACGGTCGTGACTGTTTAGACTCTGGCTCAGGTGACCCAGATATCATCAGATAAGTACTAACTCAGACTATAATGTTAACAATCACTATTATGAGCTAAACCCCAGAGCAGATTCCCAATGCCGTGCTATCCGAGTGAAGTTTCAAGTTTGACTGACATATCTAGTCTGGCGCATTGAAGAGGTTACATCCTCTTAGTCATAACGACCGCAGAGTCCACCATGATAGTCAGAAGAGTGCTTAGGGCAGTTAGAGAGTTCTGCTAATTATAGTAAACAGCATTTATGGACCTAACTGTGACGGTTTACTAAGACCACATGATCTACCCCGGTTTAGACTCGCTCGAGGGGAAAAACCACCGCCTGGTCTGGGCTCTCGACTCAGGGACTAGGGAGGCCAAGAGTTTCGGACGGGATATAGGTTCGAGTTTACCGTTGAGCATACTGCACTATAGGGATCCACTTGGACGATGATTTTCGACTAGAAGATGGGGTGGTTCGCTAGGGTTTGTTTGTGTTGTTATACAGGATTGTATAGAGGGATTTGAGTGTTGGTTGTAAGAAACAGAAGGAAAAGGGAGACGAGATTCACTCATCCTCGATAGTACAGGAAGTCAGCCCAGCTGTCAAAGATGCACATGCACAGACATGTGCTTCTTCCAGAAGCACATAGCTTAGCTCCGTGCTCGCCACCGGTCAATTGAGTTTTACTAAAGGTTTGAGGCTAAAGAGGTTGTCTCGGCTTGAAACTTGGATCTACATCTTAACCATCATGTTTATCCCGAATAGAGCTGTTACAATGCAACCTTCCCGAACAAATGCCATTGTCAAAGTCGGTTGAATGCTGGAAAGGGGCAAGAGCAAAGGTATATAAAGCCTCGCAAGCCTCCAGAAGCAATTCCTCATCCAAGCAAGCTTCGACAGCATCTCTCTCTTCTTTTCATTCGCTTTCTATACAAAAATCTATCTTACGATCTTTATTATCTTTCCTTTTTTCTTTTCAATATGCGTTTCGCTTATTCGACTGTTGCCTTGACGGCAACAGCCCTTGCAGTCCCGGTGACTGTTCCTTCGACTTATCACCGTACTTCGACGGTCCCCGGGAAGGTCCTTGAAGCTTCCAACCCGTCTAATGCTGGTCAGTTGACGGCTCGGACATTCGGCCCACTCCTCAATTGGATCGGACAGCTTAAGGGAGGGGATTCCTGTGATGAATGTGCAACTGGTGAAAGAACCGGCTCCGACACCATGGGTGTCAGCATTGGCAGCAGTGCCGAGGATTGTGATGAGAACTCCAACAGCAACGAGAACTCGAACAGCAACTCCAACTCCAACTCCAATAGCAACTCCAACTCCAACAGTAATGAGAACTCGAACAGCAATACCTCTGGCAGCAGCACTGACAGCGGTAGCATGCCCCCTGGTGGTATGCCTCCTACTGGCGGTATGCCTCCTACTGGCGGTATGCCTCCCACTGGTGGTATGCCTCCCACTGGTGGTATGCCTCCTTCCGGTGGCACTCCTCCCACCGGTGGCATGCCTCCTTCTGGCGGCACTCCTCCTACTGAAGGTATGCCTCCCTCGGGAAGCACCCCCCCTACCAGCGGCACTCCTACTGGTGACGTCCCAACTGGCGACACTCCCAGCGGCACTCCTCCCACCTCCGGCACTGAAACTGGCGAAGAGACTGGCACTGAGACTGGTGGCTCTCCTCCATCCGGTAGCACTCCCCCTACCAGTGGCACTCCGCCTACCGGTGATGTCCCCACTGGCGACACTCCTAGCGGCACTCCTCCCACCTCTGGCACTGAAACTGGAGAAGAAACTGGAACCGAGACTGGCGGATCTCCTCCATCTGGCAGCACTCCTCCTACCAGCGGCACTCCTCCTTCTGGCGGCACTCCTCCTTCTGGCGGCACTCCTCCCACTGGCGATGTCCCCACTGGTAGTACCCCCAGCGGCACCCCTCCCACGTCTGGCACAGAAACTGGCGAGGAGACTGGCACTGAGACTGGTGGCTCTCCTCCATCCGGTAGCACTCCCCCTACCAGTGGCACTCCTCCTACCTCCGGCACAGAAACTGGCGAAGAGACTGGAACCGAGACTGGCGGATCTCCTCCATCTGGCAGCACTCCTACCAGCGGCACTCCTCCTACCGGTGACATCCCTACTGGCAGCGGTACTCCCCCCAGCTCTGGCACTGAAACCGGCATCACCACTGGCGAAGAGACTGGCACTTCTACTGGCGGTTCCCCTCCCACTGGTGGCATGCCTCCATCCGGCGGCACTCCCCCCAGCTCCAGCACCGAGACCTGCGAAACCTGCCAGGGCGGTAACAACTCCGGTAACTCCTCTGGAAACTCCTCTTCTTCATCCTCTTCGTCCTCGTCCAGCAGCAGCAGCAGCTCCAGCTCCAGCAGCTCTTCTAGCAGTTCATCCAGCAGCTCTTCCAGCAGCAGCTCCTCCAGCTCCTCCAGTGGCTCCAGCGGCAACCACGCCTCAGCCAACGCATCCGGCCCCAACGACTGCGCCGAGTGCGAAGTCTCCGTATCTGTCTCTCCTGAGGACTGCGAGGAGTAAGGAAGTGCTGAAGATGAGAAATTGCCAGCCATTTAATGGGTTCATCTAGTCAATGGGTATTCGGGTGCTTTTCTTCAGCTATCAGTTTTAATAACTCTGTCGATGCTGGTTTGCACCGGCTTCAGCGCTCGTCTGCTTGGTTCCAATTTCCTTGTAAGACTACGGTCTTATCCTTCCTATCTGTCTGTCGTTACTGCGTGTGAGATAGTTGATTCGCTCCTTAGCATAATAGAATTAAATCACGTTAATGTGTGTTCGGGTTTTGAAGTTGCCAAACCTCAATCTTAGTACATTTTCAATTATCAATAATTAGGTAATCAACTGTTTACTGGTTAGTGGATAAATCTTAAGGGACGAATAAGCTACTAGCGTCTTTGTTTTACCTTCAATACTCATTCAATGTAGGCCCCATAACTTTTAATTCTGGGAAAGCGTATGGGGGGAGCGGGGTAGGAGGGAGGACGAGGTTAGGGCTTTGCTTATTATTGTGAAGCCTAGCTTGTCACGGAATCTTCCGTGTCTACGTGACTTGTCACTCTTCCCGCTGGCGACGAGATTGGAAAGATACCACGCGGAACAAAATCACAGTGTCAATATTTGGCCTGCTTTTGTGGCTATGTTTCTCTAATTGTCAAGGGGTGTAGGGTCCTTATTTCGCTTTTGATCAGCTTAGCAGCTGGTACAAGGTGCCAGGGAGAGGGATCAGAAGCGGAAACTGTAACATCTAAAAAAGCTGAGATATATTATTAATGTGAACTATGGGACCGGGGACTGTACCGATGCACCAAGAGCAGTGACAGAATTAGTGCTTAATATAAGAGAGTAACCAAGGAGGCGTTCCCGAGACGGCAAGCTCTTGCGTTATAAAAATGCTGAGCAGGATCGAAAAGTTAAACTCTCGGTGATTTAGAATATGCGAGTCATACTCCACCCCACGGAGATACCTTTGGTCAGTATCAGGAACAGTATCGAGCAAGCATATGCCACCCCGCACATGACAATCAATCCCCAATACGTCGTCTCCTCATGCGTCGACGGATTCTGCGCCTTGAGAATCTCTCCTGCCACTGGAATAGCTACCAAGAGACAGAGTCCCATTATTGTACTTGTCGTCCCATATCGTTTGCCATAATCCTCCGTCCGGGAGATCTGGGCCACACACACCGGCGACAGACTAATAGCCGGACCGGCCCAGAAGCCGAAAAAGACAGCGAAGCTTATAATAGCTGCTTTGCTCTCATTGGCCGTAAGCCATAGTGCAAGGATCAGTATAGTACAAATAGACCCAGTGATGATCATGACGTTGAACCGGCCCCAGCGATCTGCTAGAATACCGGGGATAACTCGGCCTGGAATAGATGCGGCGCTGAAGATAGACATCAGCTCGTATGATAGGGGACCGGTTAAACCGTGCGACGAAGCATATGAAGGCAGATATGTGAGAACGACCATCAGGCCGACTTCTGCGGCGGTGACAGCGATGGAAGTCATTGTGAATGTTGGTTCTCGTAGGGAACGAAGGTCAATCATGCGGCCCTTGGAGTTATTTGAAGGCAGTCTCGTTCTGGTGAAGAACGTGCTAACGATAAAGCAGCCCAGGAACACGAAACCAAGCACTCTGACCGCCCAAGGAAACCCAATTCGATCTCGCAGCGTTCCGAAGATGTAGGTGAATATGATGCCCCCGATCCCACCGGCGGTAGAGGAGACACCGGTAGCCAAGCCCCGACGCTTGTAAAACCAGTGATTTATGGTGCCGAATGCTGGTGGTAAGATGGCTGATGCAGAGAGGCCGCCCAGGATACTGAACCCGAGGATAAACTGGTAGTACGCTTCACGCCGTTAATAGGACGGCAATGGGAAATTGGAGATGCTCCACATTACCATGTGCGACGCTAAGTATCATCATTGATGCCGTAAAACCGATACACCCCGGAAGTAGAGTGTACTTAACACCGTGAGAGTCGAAGACAGGTCCTGTGGCGCATCAGTGAGTGTCATTCTACGGCTAAAACTCTAGCGTATCATACCGGCTTGAATACCACCGAGGTAGAAGAGAAAGAACCATAAACTAAAGATCCAGGAGATCGATGCTTTAGAGTAGTTTTGCAGTTGGTGGTCTGCTAGCCACTCCTCTAGAATCCCCGTGATATTCATAAGACCGAAGGTTGGAAGCAACGCACACCATGAGCCCAAGACCACTGACCAAGCTCGCCATCCGCCATCAGGAAACTCTGAGGGATCTTCTTCCGTGTACTCCATAGACGTGTGGTTATCTCCCGAGCTATGGTCACTGCTGCTCGCGACATCGTCTGTGCCAGAAGGTATTTTCTGGGAGTCGTTGCTTGTGTGCATGGTCTGAGAGATTGTGCTGCTACCATACAGCTGTCAAACAGATGCTTTGTGGCAGGATTATAATAAAACCTAGAAGGCAGTGTGGGACTCGCCATTCATAATAGCGGCTGGCATGAGATATGTAGTTCCATTATTCGTCGATCATTGAATTATTCCTCTCTAATCGAATAGGGATATGCATCCCTTTCATCCGATGCACCCGAAGTACGTATACTGGCCTAAGAAACTTGAATGTAATGCTGGAGTTCTGCCTTCAAGTCACCAATGCGCGGCCCCTTTGAGACAAATGTTTGGTAGCTTGTGTAAGCGTAGGTAGTGCTGTATGATAACTAGCTCTGCGCGTTCGGGATAGAGATATGTGCTTCATAGTGCATAACTAGTGACGATTAAGCTTCACATTTCAAGTGCTTTGTGTAACAGAATAGCAATGGCCATACCTTTTCCGCCGTCATTTGCAATACATTGCAGCCGACAATTTTAAGGTAAGAACCCACCGAGTGTTGTTCTTACCTTCCACGTACTGAGTCATTCGGTTGTTCATAGTGAACGCTAGTAGAATAGACCATGAAGCCAAAGATGGGACACTCGAAGCTGACCATGTATTTTGTGAAGATTCTCAACATCGCCGTCAAAGCATCAAACTTCTTTGTGATATAACCTTATTTACCTTATTTGGAGGTAAAAGGCGCCACCAGGAACTGCGGCCATACAGATCTCGGAAAGGAGAAATAAGCATTTGGTCTGGAACATCCCTTGTGGTTATTTTCATCCGCTGCAGGAGTCCTTACTGGTCACATGTTTTGTCATTCTCAATTTGGGTGAAACAAAACAAAGCAAACAAAGAAAAAAAGGAGTAAATAAAGAAAGGTGGATGCCTGTCAATAAGCAACATAGGGTTATCTCGTGATTCTCCTTTCATACTACATGCACACCTTCGAGATTCATTCTCTCATGCTTTGCACGTGAGTCAGCAATTTGGTGCGACCGACCGTTGATTGTATTGGGGCCGTAACAGTGGAATAAATAATCCTTCTACTTTTGAGACACAATGTATAAAAATACTAATGTGTCTTTCAAGAAGCCATGGATCGAATATCGTCCAAGTGAGACTGTCGGCGAGCTTCGGATGTACCTCGGCCAATTCACCTCTCCTTGACTGCTGCTATATCGACGATACTACTACTACTGTCCAGAAGTGTCCTAACTGCCATGATGACTCTACCGCCAGAACGGAACGAAGAAAGATTTGGAAAAAGTATTGGGAAAGATCTAGTGGAATTGAGTCCTGAGTGGAAGGTATGTTTTAATTGATCATGGCCGACAACAAAAGTAGTTCTCCTCATTGGCGAGAATGAAAGAAAAAAAACGGAACACCTGGTTGAACACAGCCCACGTTACGTAGTGAGATCTTGGCGGGTGGAGATGTCCTGAGGCCACCGACCATTTAGCTTCAAAGGGTCCAATCACAATGGGGCCAAAAAAAAGGGTTAGGGTGGGAGACATTTTTACGTCACTGGCGGCTCTCGCCATGACCTCTTTTAGTCAAGTCATTCTACCTCCTTAACGAGTTCTCGGCGATTATCGACAAATAGGTTATTTCTATTTCTGTCGTGCCATGCTCAGCCATGTATGCTGTACTGCATAGACGAGATCATGAAGATTCTGACATACATCCAGTAAAAACACGTTGTGTACGTAGTAGTATATGGAGTACCCCCTGAAATCGTCACCCCACGCCACATTGACGCCTGTCATAGTCATACATGTCACAGTCAGGTACGGGAGCAATGATGGCGCCTGTCTCGCTATATTACTGGCTGCCAGCTGGCGCTCCCGTAGGAGTTCGCAGGGTTGCAGTATCCGGTACCGTACTTGAACCGTTGTGGTTTAGTGTCAGACGACCCCTGACAAGGCTGAGTCGCTAGCCTCAGGCTTTGTGGGTGATCCATCTATTGTGAGACCTTGTTTCGGGGCAGCTTTGGGTTTCTTGTGCTATCAGTTCCGGGGGGTTTTTTTTTTGTGATGACATGCCAAATTCAGTAACGAATGCGACAAGATACAGAGAAAGAAAGAAGACTTTCAGCCAGTTCAAGGGACACCCGCTGGACGATAATGTTAAAAAAGCCACAGACCCCACAAAGCTTGTCCATCATTGACCAAAAGGGAAAGATTAACAGCCCCCGCCGTGGAAGTTTCAGAGCATCGCCGCGTCATTGCCTTTCGCACCGTCAATCTAGGCCCCTGATTCTTATGCTTTATTCGTCTATTCTTCCCGCTTCCCCCCTTGGCTCAATTTCGTTCTCTCTCTCTCTCTCTCTCTCTCTCTTTTTCTTTCTTCCCTTTCCTTCTTTCTCTATCCTACAATGTTATCGATCTATTCACGCGTCATTCCGTCTTCGCCGGCGCGATGACCTTACCTAGTTGTTCGAGATGGCGCCTGCGACCAGGTAGCCTCCTCTATCTGTTCTACCTCGTGGGATTCATGAGCTTCAGCTGTATCGTCGCTATCTGGTATGGCGTCAACTCCGACCGAGACTATATTCACCCGCTCTTGACCCAACTCATCCCCGCCGGGCACTGTGCGTGCCAAACTTCGACCACCTTCCAATGTTCCACCTGCCTGTCATGCTCCGAGCATAGTCTTGTCCCGCAACTTACCTCCGCCCCAAAATGGGAATTCAACTCGGAACGTGATGCAAACAATGAGGGCCTCAGTACACCTCAATGCAAGGCCGCCTTCCCGGGACTCTACGAGGATGTCTTCCGCGCCGAGAGCTTTTGGCGGTCCCAAGGCGCTCTTGCAACCGAAGACCTGGATCGCATTCCCTTAGGATTTGGTATGGTTCGAGCATTTATTTCCCGCGGCGAGTTGTATGTGGTTGCGGCGCGGGCAAAACAAGAGGACCACCGACGAAAAATTGTGGCGGCATTGAGCTCCATCCATCGCGCGCTGGTCGCGGATTCCGATCGAGCTGCTCGTCGCGACATTGAGTTTGTTTTCTCGGTGGAGGATAAGGTCGAAGATGTTACGAGCTCCGACAATCCTGTCTGGGTTCTTGCACGGTCTGCGGCCGAGCAAGGTGTCTGGCTGATGCCCGACTTCGGATTCTGGGCGTGGGATAACCCGCTGAATTCGATTGGACCCTTTGATCAAGTCGTCGAACGTGTTAAGAGAGCCGATGTTCCGTGGTCGCAGAAAGCCCCGCAGTTGGTTTGGCGCGGCAAACCTAGTTTTGCGCCCAAGCTGCGCCGCGCGTTGATGGATGCCGCCCGGGATAAGCCGTGGGGCGACGTCAAGCAAGTGGACTGGTTTGAGCGGACGAACATCATGTCGATGGAAGATCACTGCCGATATATGTTCATCGCGCATGTCGAAGGTAAGTTTTTCTTTCGCTTGTTGTAGCTGCCACAGTGCTAATCAGGTCCCCGCCTAGGCCGATCGTACTCCGCTTCACTGAAGTACCGCCAGGCCTGCAACTCAGTAATCGTGGCGCATAAACTGCAGTATATCCAGCACCATCACTATCTCCTCGTACCAGACGGCCCGAATCAAAACTACATCGAGGTGGAGCGAGACTTCAGCGATCTTCCGAGCAAGATTGAGCCCCTCCTCGACGACCCGAGTATGGCACAGCGGATTGCCAACAATAGTGTGCACACCTTCCGGGAGCGCTATTTGACGAAGGCCGCCGAAGCATGCTACTGGCGCCAGCTATTCGAGGGATATGGACACGTCTGGAACAGCAGTGTCCCTGTGTGGTCGGACGTGTTTCAGCGGGAACGGGGTCTCCGATACGAGTCGTTCGTCTTGATGGATAGTCAGATGATGTTTGACTTTCGCGCGACGGGCGACATGCCATGATGATTTTGCAAGTGATATTCGAGCGATTTACATATTCACGGAGTTTGGAGTCAGTGGGATATGATAAACTTCTGCGGCTATTTAGCCTTTGAGATACCAATCAAGCGTGGTTTTGTGATTCACGATGCTTCATAGACAGGTACGGTTTTAAGCCGTCTGCCATATATATACTCAATGATACCAGATATATAGCCTCTTCTGAATACCGCCAGTACTAGTGACCATGTGACTGAATATCCCCAAGTCCTGTAATGCTTCACCAATTCTTATCCCAATGACACCCTACACTCAAACCAATATTAAACTAATCACCAATATAAAAGTCTCCCCCACCTCCTACCATCAACCCAACTTGAATCATGGACCGATGCACAAAACCCCATACCCCAAAAGGAACAAGACAATACAACAACCCAAATCAAAGAACCCCAAGAACAAACCCCTCCAAACCCTCTGGACTGCCCCCCACCAAATCTCTCACCTTCCTGCCGTCCCGGAAAGCCATAAACGTCGGCATAGCCACAATCCCCAACTTGGCGATCTCCTCGTCCGACAATTTCCGCACGTCCATCCGGTAAAACGCGATATGCGGTGTTGCGTGGGAGATCTGCTCGAAGGCCGAGAACATCGGGCGACAGGGACCGGTCCAGCCGGCTGTGAAATCGATTATAGTGGGGGTTGGGGATTGGATTGTTTCTTGGAGGGTTGTGTAGCTTTTTTTATTTGGAACTTTTTGTTAGTGAGGGTGGGTATGGATGGAGGTAATGGGGTTTGGGAAGGGATGATTTAATTTGGAAATGGGGACGGACGAGGTGATTTCTTTGACGACCATTTTTTCTCTTCTTTCCTTCTATTATAGTATGGATGGGAGTGTAGCAGAGTAGGAGTGTGGGAGTTGTAAAGGTTGCGGATGGAAGGACTGGTTGGTGATTTGTATAATGTTACTAAGAGAGCTGACAGCCTTCACGGATTAATTAATAGGAAGAGATAGAGCTCTCAAAATCTTTTATTCCACAATCAAACCTTTCAAGTACCCCCATGAACCTAAAAGTGAAGGTAAAGTAAGAAGAATGTCTATGACGTGGTGGAAATGTGAATAGACTTTGTCGGATGCGACAAGGCTGACATTTAACTTTCTGCATGATTGGATAATCTGGGGTCTGGATAGGCTTTTGATTCCGCTGTGGGCGTGGTTTATGATTGTGTGATGGTGATATGGTTGGGTGGGCTTTCTGGTATATTTGGGTAGGTTAGGTGGGTTGGTTGTGCTTTACATGTCAATAGCTAGGGCTTGTCAGATTGGATTGGATGGTACCTATATCAGAACCCAACCTAAGACAGATTGACCCGAGTTTGTATACATCCATACTCGAATCAGACAAGAGCTTAATACAACTGACGACTCTTATGTTAAATGTCGACTTGCGGTCTTTCTTGTTTCCTTCCATAATACTATTGCTAAAAGCAAGGCAGGCATGTGACTCGCGTATTCTCCGAAGGTCTTTGGATCCCTTCCCATTCTTGATGTCGGTTTTTTGTTTGCAGTGGAAGCTACGAGGTCTCTGTCTCCTAGAGGGAGCTCTATACGCACCCTCTCAGGCATTGAGATACGGCCAAGATGGTGTTCTCTTTGCCTCTTCTCTTGTTACGCTGTATCGAGAACTGTTACAAGAAAGTCTAGACCGGAAGGGCTTGGGCAGATAAATGCAAGTTAGGTCGAGTTATAGTAACACAGAGCCCAGGTGCAGTCTGTCAAGATCACATATAAACTCCCCGATAGTACATGATCATGATGGATGCTTGATATCTGTCATCTACTCTAAGATAACCATTATTTCTGCTATCACCATACCTCTCATACCGGAAGATGATGCCCACATTATTCCAAGCGATCGGTTCCATAGGCATTCCTCTTGCAATCTATACAGCAAGCGTAGCCATCTACCGTCTCCTTCTGTCCCCGCTCGCCAAATTCCCCGGCCCAACGCTCGCCGCCCTAACCGGTTGGTACGAAGTGTTCTTTGATGTCCTCCTCGGTGGCCAGTTTATGTGGGAAATCGAGCGTCTCCATGGGAAATATGGCCCTATCGTGCGCATTAACCCCCATGAACTTCATATTAAAGACCCGGACTACTACAACACCCTCTATGCAGGCCCCACAAAGCGACGAGACAAGTACCTCTGGTTTCTGTCTGTCGGAGCCCCGGCCTCGACCTTCGCCACGGCGGCATATGGTCACCACCGCTTGCGACGGGGGATGCTTAGTCCCTTTCTCTCTAAGCAAGCTGTCAGGGATCTGGAAGGGGTTATTAAGGGGAAGTTAGATTTGCTTTGTGAGCATATGAAGAAGGCGATGAGGAGTGGGGAGGCGGTGGAATTGCATGCTTCTTTCGTGTCGTTTGCTGTGGATGTCGTTTCGACCTGTGCATTTGGGGAGACCGGGTGCCTCGAAGTGTTGAGGCGGGAAAGACTAGATGACCGATGGAAGGAGGCCGTAAATGGCGCCTTTGCCAAGTTGATTCTTACTAGGCATTTTCCTTGGCTAGTGGTTGTTTTTCGTTTCCTGCCCGTGTGGGTTACTGCGCTAATCACCCCTGTGGTGCGGTATATAGATTATATGGAAAAGGTGAGTATCTTGTGAGGATCTGATTGAACTATTGGAGTGGATCTATGTGTTACTGATATGGGCTTCAGGAGGTTGAGCACCAAATGCAATACGTATATGCGAAGAACAAGGATGGTATCGAGGAGAATGGCATCTTCTCGCAGCTTATGCACAATCAGACCCTACCTCTGAAGGAGAGGACGCTGGATAGATTGACTGATGATGCCAAATTTCTGATGTTTGCCGGGACCGACGCTCCATCTCAGGTTTTGGCCATCACAATGTTCCATGTTATTCGCTCTCCACTGGTCTGTCGAGGTCTACGCGAGGAGCTGCAGGATAAGACTGCACATTTACAAGATGAGCTGTGTTTGAACAGGCTTGAAAAGCTTCCGTATCTGGTGAGTAAAGAAGCGCCTTGTTTCTATGACTCCACAGCTTACTTCAGATAAGACTGCAGTTATTAAAGAGGGGCTTCGTGTCTCGGCCGTTGTCACGTCACGTCTCCCGCGGATTGCGCCTGATGAAATGCTGAAGTTTAGAGCCTGGACAATTCCCCCAGGGGTATGAAATCTCTCATATCAATCTAGCGTCTGTTCTGCTGGCTGATGACGCTCTGCATGAGCGACAGACCCCAGTGAGCATGTCCAGCCACTTTATACTGCGAGATCCCGCTATATTCCCTGACCCACTGGTCTTTCAGCCTGAGCGGTGGCTAAAGCAAAGTACTATCGGCTTGAGCTTGGACAGATATCTTGTGCCATTCTCAAAGGGAAGCCAAGGATGTTTAGGGCCAAAGTATGCTTTTTCTTAGATATCGACAACACTTGCTAATTCAGACATTAGCATGGCTTATGCTTGGCTGTACCTAGCCTTAGCTACACTGTTGCAGAGATTCGAGTTCTCACTGTTTGAAACTACCGAAGAGAATGTTAGGACGGTTAGGGACTGTTTCAATGGACAGACAAAACCTGGACAAAACAATATACGGGTGAAAGTGTTGACGGAAGTTACTTAACCTAAGGTTTCGATCTATTTGTGACAGTGGCAGCTATAATAGTGAACATGGGGAAGAAGAAGTTGATTTCGAAGAACAAATCATTCCAACAGGCAGCGTAGCCAAGACGTGTCGCATACTTACCGAAATGTGGTATGGTGGCTGGGAGTGGAGCAGTCGAGACGAACCACTAGGGTTAATAGAGTTTCTCTGACTCAATAACAACATGGGGCGCTTTGACAGCTAGGCTGACCATCATGCAGTGGTGCTCCACAGCCCACCGAGAGAGATTATATTTGTAATTATCATGTTCGGTGTTCTTGATCGCCCACTTTTCTTGACGCTGTGGTAAAGGTTGTGTGCTCTGATATGTAGATCTGCGTGATATCATGACTTGGACTCAGCTCCAAGCATACTCACCGTAGCTGCCCGTATGACCATATATCCAATGTCTACGGACTGGAACCTTACTTCTGCTGCCTCTTAAGTCGTAGTAATCCTATCGGCGCTGAACGAGTCGTGATATCGCCGGCTTGACCAGGGATACAGCATACGAAGGAACGAGGGCTGAAAAGAAAGGCGCAAGAAATTGGTCTGTGTGAGGCGCTAATGAGAAGCCAGTGGGGATTGAGTGGTGCAGAGAAAAAAAGTTAGCTGGTGATTGACATTTAAAAGAGTCAAAAACACCTGACCTCACTTGACTTGCCTTTTGGTAAATTGGGGATGGGTTTCTTTTCCCCCTTTGGGAGATTGACATGTAGGGCATCAATCCCTTTGTTCCTCCATTCCTCCCTCAGAGAAAACATCTCACTTAATGCCCTCACTGTGCAGGGATAAACACTATTCTATTTTATTAACCCATGCTGCCGATCGGGATCCAAAAAGCTGGAAAGGCGGCAGATGATTATTGACTTCGGCTATTCAGAGTTGGTCTCCTCTTCATGACGGTCCGCGGCCGCAGTGGATCAGCGTTCCACCAAATCAGAACCGATTCTATCTCGTGTCGCGGAACCAAATCAAAACAAACATCCACACCGACTGCCCCTTTGCTCGTCCACTGGAGCGTGCGCTGACAATCGTTCCACTCTGAGTGGGTGCGCAATCTCCATTGGGCCCCAGCTCAAGCAAGGAAGCTCCCACTCTCCAGACGAACCATGATCTGTGCGACGATCGATCCTGCTTTAGGACCACTAAGAGACGGCCAGTGGACTCATGGCCCAAGTCAGCCCGCCAAATCACAAACTATTGTTCTAGAGATCGTCGCACGAATCGGCGAGTTTCAGCTGAGCCGTGATCTGCAGCCACACAAGAATCTTCACAAATCATGGCTGCCGCCAGTGGTTGCACGAGCAAGAACGGGGGATGAATGTGCAGGATGGGCAGAGGACCTGGCGGAGAGGAAATTTAAATTCCCTACGCCATACCCTCCGGCAACTGAACCTCCTCCCTTCTGCTGAAATTTTGATCGTTTTCCTACCCTAGCGAACATCATGCCGTCACCGATTCCGAAGCCGAAGGGTGTTCCCATCCTGGGAAACCTCCTCGATCTCGATGGCAACAACCCCTGGGGCTCCTTCAACAAGCTAGCCAAGAATTATCGTGAGTCCCAATGAGCCTTTTGCGATAGAGGCTAGAGCACAGTTAACACCGCGTGTCTGTACCTAGGGCCCATCTTCAAAATCTCTCTCCCCGGTAAGGATATCGTCTTTATTACCGGTGCCCACCTACTAGAGGAGGTTTGCGACGAAACACGCTTCCGCAAATGCGTAACCGGTCCCATACTGGAAATCCGCGATGCGGTCCATGACAGTTTGTTCACGGCAACGCACGAGGACAAGGAAATGGAAGCATGGGGTATTGCCCATCGCATAATGGCGCCCCTAGTCTCGTGGGAAGCCGTTGAGCAGGTATTCTCCGGAATCCAGGAGACAACTGATGACCTGATCAAGAAATGGACGGCGGGATCCCGGCAGCGTGTCAATTTAACGAACGACTTGGATCGATGCAACCATGCCGCAAACATGCTTTGCTTCTTCGATCAGCGGGTACACATAATGGAGGGTCCTGAACCTGCGGTCATCAAAGCCATGGACGGTGCTACCAATGAGGCAATGCGCCGACCTGTCCGTTTCAGGATAATCAACTGGCTGTTCCACAACCGCAAATGGAAGGCATGGATCGACACTATGCGTGACTACGGAGCCGAGATCGTTAAGACTCGCCAAGCGAACCCAACTGACAAAAAGGACATGCTCTATGCGTTGCTAGAAGGCAAAGACCCCGAGACCGGTAAGGGTTTGACCGAGAGCCAGGTGCTGGATGAGATCATCAATATCTTCATTGGTAGTGCCACGGCACCCAACCTAATTGCTTTCGCAATGTACTATTTGGCGAGGAACCCAGACGCGGTTGCCAAGGCTCGCGAGGAGCTGGACGCTGTGGTCGGCGGTCCTTCTGTCAGGATTGAACATGAACATCTTGCTCGGCTCCCATACACTGAAGGTGTCTTGCGGGAGTCCTTCCGACTCTCCGGCGTCGCCCCCGGCTTCAATATCGAACCTATCCCTGAGAACGGTGGCCCCGTCCTGCTCGCCGGTGGTGAATACGAAATTCCTGTAAAGCAGCCCTTGATCGCCATTTTGGCGGCCGTCAATCGTGATCCGGCTATCTTCGAAGACCCCGACGCGTTCAAACCCGAGCGTATGGTCGGTGAGAATTTCGACCAACTCCCGAAGGGTGTGAAGAGGGGCTTCGGAAACGGTAAGCGCGAGTGCATTGGCAAGCGGTATGCCTGGCAATGGTCCTTCATGGTGTTAGCGAGCATCCTCAAGGATGTCGACTTTGAACTGGCGGACCCGAACTATGCGGTGGGCAATGACGGTGTGAACTGCAACGGAGCATTCAGTGTGCGGCCGCAGGAGATGTTTGTGGTAACTGGACCCAGGGCTCGCGCTGCCTAGTTGTTGATGCCGCTGCTACTTTATTTCTTGTTTCGATACCAATGCTGTTTGTTATGCCAATAATGTCTACTAAGAACGAGCTGTGCTTGGCGACGATACGTGTCTAGCGATTGCTTTCCCACTCCATGAGTTACCACAAATCTTATAGCATGTAAGCAATAATATTGATTGGAAGCTCACAGAGCTCTCTGATAAAAAGAAGCCACGCCCACCACCGGTTCTTAAAAGTAACCCAGGATTCCTTGACATTTGCAGTAACTTGGAAAACACACATTTCCATTGACAAGCTCTTCCTTTCATATCTACGCTAATACCGTCAACTAACAAGATAGTTATTCTTGTCGCCAGGACACATACCGAGTTAGAAACTCCAAGGTCCAATTATTCTCATGTGTCCAAAACCCCATATCGTATCGGGTATGACAAGAATCGAGAAAGACTGGATATAGATCGTTGGCAGGAAATGTGCGAATACAGGTGATTATGAACAATCTGAGGTAAAGATTTCAGGGCTACTGGATTGCTGTAGACGTGAATATTAGCCGATCCTGCCACGTTTCGAATATTGAATAATTCTATAGCTTTATCTTAAGACCAGTCGATTATTGATTAAGACTCCCTTCAAGCTTAACAGTAGCTAGAATCAAAAATTTAACTAATCTAGCTAGAATGGACTAGGTAGGTGTATGACCTCTGTAGACTAATTTACCCTAGCCATTGCCTACTCTACCCAGACATCACAGAAAGCTCGTCTGTAGTAAACTCTCAATGAATGACCAGATCTGCGCTGAATCATGCGAATTAAACGTGGCAGACATATAGTACGTCTTGCGGTGGCCCTGCAAATCATTCAGATGTCTGTAGAAGCCATTGCGAATCGCATCCGGCGGGACAGTCAATAGGAACGGGCTATGATCAGAATATTGAACGAACTCCGGCGGTTCAACCGGGATGCCAGCATTCCTTAATTGCATGACACTGCGAGTCATATTACCCTTAACCTCTGCTTCCGTCATGTGGCCTTTGCTTCCGTAGAGGATAGAAAACAGCTTCGGTGCCCTCGTAGTATTTATCACGTAGATCGCAGGCTGAGACGGCAGTTGGTAAAGGATATCGACTGCACGGTTCACAATTTGCATATCTTCCGGAAGACCCGGGATCCTGGCGAGAGCAGTGTAGTAGCATGTGTTATTGAACTGCCCGAACAACGCTCGTTCTGACTCGTCCAGGTCCATTCCCTTCAGCATATCCAGCTTGGGCGGAATGGCTATGATGAGTTTCCGGGCGCGAATCACTTTCGCCCCGGATGGCGTTTCCACCACCGCATAGGCAAACTCTCTCTCCTCGTTGCGGTGTGTATAAGTGACGATGCTATTCGGTAAGACGTCCTCACCTAGCTCTTCCTGCGCAGCGCCGTACAGCTCGCTATTGTTGTGACTGGTTGGGATCAGAAACCCCCCTAATGCGCTTTGGATCACATCAAGGCTGAAATATTTCATCATGTAGAGGGTTGTCTGCTGCAATATATCTCCCGCGCCTTGATTAAACATCGCAATGATATCGACCGCTCCCTCCAGGTTATACTTCTTCACAAAGTCGCCGAACGGGAGCAGCAAATCCGGGGGTACGGGGTAAGGAAGGTTGAAGCCGGTGTTGAGATAAGGGTACTTGAGTAACTGGGCCGAGTAAGCCGCCAATGCCACAAGCATGTTGCCCTCGGCTGGGCCTACTGGAGTCCCGGTTCGAAGGTCCACACGACGCTGTGTGGAGTTCTGCTCTAGAATTGAAACCTTCTCCAGTTCAATATCGAAGTGGTGAAAGTAATCTCGCACCAAGGGTAGGTTCTCGTAATATAGCACTCCATAGTCGACGGCGGTTTCGGTTGCCGGGTCGTCGTAGGTATTGACATGTCCGCCCAGGTGGTCGTTTTTCTCTACCACGACAACGCTCTGATTCATTTCTTGAAGACGAATTGCTGCGTATGTGCCAGCGGAACCGCCGCCTATGATGCACACATCGCGTGTGATGATGTTCTGGTCTTGGAATCGGGAAAGGTCGAGCTCGGGGGGGACGCGAGGGGCAGAGACTGCGCAGTCTAGCCAGGATATAGCTGAGATGACTAGCGATATGGTTGTTATTAGCAGCCCCATATTGACTCAAATATGGCTAAGGGCTTATCGAACGCATATGCGCGTGTCAGCAAAGAGGGATGGGCACACATTTATCAACTGTGCATGGGGTCACACTGGCGGCCTATTCTTAGGAATTGATCGAAAGAGGGTGTGAATGGGTTCTATGAGATCTATATTCCCATCACTTGCCGTACCGTGGTGGAGCCATTGAAGGGATGATTCTCTTGCAAGTCACAAACATGTGCCATTCCCTGACTTCTCTGGGCAGGCGATAGGGAATTGATGGGATACAGTATAGACGAATAACCTCTCAAGATGGTCCGACTGTTACACCTGGAGGTTTTGTGTAGCGAATGTCTCTCCAGTGAAAGCTTGTAACAACATCCCATTGGACTATAAGAATCTGTGATACATAAGATCAGATCTTCACCAAGGAAAAGCCTCCGAGATCAGGTTACTACGATGCTGCACAATGGAACACTCTAAGACCCCAATGGCCATTAGACCTAGGGTGATGAGACTGCTTCTAGTCATATGTTAATTCACTTACTCTCTCAGTTGATGAAAGTTTTGGTTCAATGCAAACTCTTTGCCCGAGTACTAGTATAGATATGATGGCTCGATTAGTAGCGTTATCCATATATTTTGGGGTAACGAAAGTCAACATCGTCCTGTACTGGTATTAAACTAATTCAATGTAATCACGCTAACGCTGGATACACGTGACCGGAAGTAAGTTAAATTAACAATCAAGAAAATGTGAATAGAGATACGAGCTTGGAAACCTTTGTCCATTATTACTCGTACCTGGCCTTGTAGAACTCCTCCCGCCTGTAGTAGAAATGGTACGCTCTACCCATGGTAGCGCAACTGGGCAGTGAGCTAGAGTGTCACGACAGTTCTTTGTCTTAACCTATAATAGACGTACTGATATACGTGGCTTTTTTATGGTGAAGCTATCTAGGTAAGGAGACACACTTGCATTAGATTAGAGCTTCACCATTAGCACATGCAAATGGTTATAGCTCCGTTTTAGTAAGAACAAAAGTACTAAATCGGCTATATCGGTCGTTCATGACTCGGTTGTTTGTTTTAGCTATATCATAATAGATCTGAATGGCAAGGGACTCCGAGGAATAGTAAGGTTGGCCACTTTGATACCTGAGTTTCTAGAGAGTTCAGAACAGGACCAGAAGTTGCGTCCGTACAGAAAGAGTATCTTAGCAATCATTGGTAATAGACACGATGTCATGAAGTCGGAGCTTCCCGCCTCTTGTCATTATGATGGATCAGTGGCTAGTTTCAACGACTGCGCTAAAGTCAGGGTCAGTTTATATAACCTTAGACTATAGCAGATGAGTCAGTCTTCGAGTGATTGGAAGGAGGCTCCGCGCATGGTCATTGCTATTATAGTAACCAAAACGCTGTTACTTCGCTCCACTACTCGTAATGTATCAGCGTTGGCTTGGCTCTGTGACCTTAACTTAGGGCCGACCCCCATCAGTGGCTTATAGAGAATATGCCACAGGGATGTAGGAAACACCGTGCGCTATATCGTAGATCATGGTAAGTGGTAGTTGCGTTTCACTTTTGTTTCGGTGCTATAGAACTGCCGAAGCATCTAGATTGGAAATGTGTAGACCGCTCAACCACAGCTACAATCAACAAGCGAGGATACTAGGAATATCCAACTCCAGCAAGACACCGATGAGTATGGAGTGATCATACTAGGATTCACGGTAAAGGGGGAAAGGAAACCTGTGCCAAGCTTGCTAGTTGAACGCGTGGATTTGTATTTTACTCGACAGAACGACAAGAGACGTAGTAAACTCAAGTTGAATAGGTTTGGATGCCCTCTTGTGGAAAGGACAGCGAGAAGGTACTTTCCAGGGAAACAACCCAGTGGGACAGTGTAGGAAATACCGAGGTAAAGAAAGTCTCAGTGCAGTCCTAAGCCCAGGAGAGGCATTTCCGACAATAGAGTTAAGCTATTTTTCTCCACTTTCCCTATTGTTTGGCATCCTGACTCGCAGTGGCCGTAGCTCCCTCTATTTTCCACCAACACGCACATCGCGATATGTTCAGCCACGTTTCATAATCGCAGCAGTGCCCCCACTGGCACAAAGTTGTTCTGGCTTTCAGCCAAGATTCCCCGCTCAGAACATGAGACTCCCACACTTCCACCTGGTGGAGCGGTACTTACAAGCTCTTTCTAGATACTGTCTCCAGAGAAGGATTATTAATTACGGAATTCGCGTCAGGCCCTGTAAAAAAGAACCAAGAGCAAATTGATCCCGGCATGCCGGAGGATGCTTAACTTTTGGTGATGAACTCCTAGCCCAAAACCTGTCTCGCATAGGTTGCTCATAACCGGATTAGGACTGACAGCAATTGGTCATAGCCCTAGTTATCCTGCTGGACATCTCCCTGAGAGGCTGGTGATCGCCTTGGGGAGCGATGCACGAGGTTCCATTCAGATGGCAATTCTGTAGGGTTGGCCCCTGTCAGTTGGTTTATTCTCATTACCAAATATTCAAGGCCGCAGGTTAACGCAAACGGACTTGGCTGTACGCAAGACGACACAGGAGCACCTTGGTATCTATTTTACTGATACTGGTTGCCTGCTTCATCTAGCTTTAACGGCTAGAGGACTTGGATCATAGTTTGACTTCTCAAGCGTTCATGCTCTCCATACCCATATGCATGCAGTATGCTAATAGGTCAAGTTTCTCAGCTTGATCTCTACAAGATCCGGAGGGCAACTCCTTTGCTTGCACGGATAACGCAGCACAAAAGTACCAAATAAGCTTCGAGGCTTTCCAACTGCCGCGAAATCCGTGTCCTATGCGTCGTTCTTCAATCAACTTTGGCGTGTGAGCTTCATCTATCTTCAAGAATGTGGCAACTATTGTGGGGGTGATTGGGGACCGCGTATACCAGGTTACCACGAATTTTAACTTAAAAGAACACGATAATTCGACCGGAGAATGAAAATATCTGACTCGTTATCAATTCGATCTGCGACAGGGAAAGTGGGCCCCGTCAGGTGTGGAGCAATGGTAACTATACAAGGAGTAAGCATTCCGAAAGCGCCAGAAAAGAAAAAGAGAGTAAAAGGAGTTGCCGCAAGTCGTTAGTATGTTGCGCAATATTTGACGCAATGCAGCATGAACAAAAGTTCGCTTGTTCTGGAGTTTCTTCCAAGCCGCGGTGGTTTGGCATTTCCAGGTTTGTGATACGCTCTGGGCCTCTTAGCTATAAACCCGTTTACTATAGTATCCTTATCATTCCATTTAATTGCTGAAACCGGAAGTGCCCTCCGGTTGTCATAGATTGAAAATGATTAATTAACTGCTAAAATTAAGCGCTGCTTTCCATGCCATTAATCAGAATCGGAAACGATAATATCCCCGCCTGCTTCTAGTTGCATGATTTCCTTTGCCATTCCCTCTTTCCGGGTAACGTCTAGCAGCGTACTTTTAAGTAGATAGTAGCTTGCTGTAGGGCAAGGTAACTTAAGCCTAGTGGAGTCTGATCTGAGCCAGGTACATGTTCCGACGGCGTGCATTCTTCGCACAAGACTACATTATCAAGCTAGGAAAGTGCTGGCGCCTCAGACTGGCAAGCCTCGTATTGTTTGTGGATATCCTACACAATTGGCGAGGAAGCAATGGAAGCTGGTACATAACCTGATGTTCGGACACTTCTTCAGTTCTATGAGGTATATTTTGTGTCTCAACTTATTCAGGATGGACTCACCTTCGGAGTCAGCTACAGACATATTGACAATAGTCGGGAATAATCCTTCATCTTTTACAGATGATATCATTCCTCTATCCTCGATGGGAGTTAAGTTCGTTATAGTGGATGTCTTCTTGATATTCATGACAATTGTCTTCACCTCATTACGGATTATCTCTCGACGACTAAGGGGACAAAAGCTTCTTCCTGAAGATTATCTACACATTGCATCCATGGTGCGTCATAAATTGTCCAACATAATCGAGATTTACTTTTCTGACTATAGCCGAATCAATAGGTATGCTTCCAAGGAATTGGTTTTCTTAGTATTGCAAGTGAGTCAAGGGAAGATAAGAGGTGACTTGCCTGATCTAAATGTATTCTAGTGTTTGTGAGAGGCTTTGGGCATCACATATGGGAATTGCAAATTTTCCATATAACACCGTTGCTTAAGGTTTGTGTTCCTCCATCAGGTGCACCGATTGCAAGCACACATCAGCTGGCTCGTCCACCTGCTTATATTGTTGTTCTTCATTTGCTTCAGATGTATTACGCTCTGATGATCCTTTACGCCATATCTCTTGGATTGGTAAAGATTAGCATCTGTTGGTCTCTCGCGCGCATATTTTCCACGCCGCTTCTGGTTTTCGTTGCCCGCATCTTGATGGTGGTGTCTGCCTTATGGGCAATAACGACGATTTTCATATCTGTAATCTTCTGCCACACAATCGGTCTAGATTGGTCAATGTTCTCGACAGACGAGCACTGCCTGAACCTCTCAGTCGCCTATGGTACTCTGGCCGCGGTCGACGTCCTCGTTGACTTATTCATCATGGTACTTCCATTTCCCACGCTCTGGAGTCTACAGATGCCGAAGTCAACCAGGGTGGCCTTGACGTTTGTGTTCAGCACGGGAATACTGTAAGCTATCTTTGATAGGACTCTTTAGTCCACTCCTTTTTTTTTTTTTTTTCTTTTCTTCTGACAATGTATCTTCGGAAGCAATAGAACGATGACATTCGGTATTCTACGCCCTGTTGTGATAGTAAACTTACAGCAGGCAGATATCCTCTATAGTGGAATAATGGGCCATGTATGGACGGTTGTCGAGAGCGGTGTTGCTATTATTGTCAGCAGCAGTCCTTTTCTCCGTCCGGTATTCGAGCGGGCTGCGAATGCATTCGCTTCGTTTACCAGTATCACAAGGGCCACAACCTCTGGAAAACATAGTACACGACATACGGAAGATGAAAGACACCTAGTCGCAATACCACCCG